ATGGGTTAATCTGAATCTGTGTTTGAAGGTAAGATATTGTTTGTTTTTTCTTGGGGATTGGGTTTGGGGTTTTTACTCCATCATTTGAATATCGGATATTGGTGTGGGATTTGCAGGTCAGATGTTAGTTTTGTAGATTTTGATCTCATTGTAGCTGATCATGAAATGTTGGTTTCAAGTTCTCTCATTTAAGTCCTTCCGGTAGATGAAATTGCATTAGAACTAGAAAATTAACACAAATGTCAGATAGTTGTTACTCTCTTTATGACTATATCATCGTTTTTTTATATTGTATTCTTTGCAATTGATAATAGAGGTTCTTATTATATTTGAAAATTTCATAGTTAGTTTGATGTTCTTAAAGAAATAAGCAACTAGAGAGCTTGTTAATTTGTTTAGTTCAAGGTATTACTTTCTTTCCTTATCGTTTCTCAATTTGGTTGTGTGTGTTTGTATGAGTCTATGTTTATCTTGCAAATCACCAAGAGTCAATTAGTTGTTTATAAAAATTCCTAGATCATTGTTGTTGCGAGACACTACCTTTTTTCTCCTTCCATGGCTATCTTTGCTTGCTAAACCCACCACCTTTGTTATCGTTCTTTGCACTTCCCCTTTCTGTCTCTCTATCAAAAAGCTACCTCATAGCTTCCACATATTAGTTTCCTCTATGCATCCTTCTAAAATTCCGGTGCTGCTGACCATCGTCCTGTATCTATGCGTATGTCTAACTTTGTGTTTATGTGTGTTTACAGGACTTGAAATGGATTGATATAAACCAACATCTCAAAGAAATCGTGGGTAAGCTTCTTAAGATCTGAATATGATCTTCTTGTTGGGTTTTTAGAGCTCTTGTAGTTGAATGTTTAGTTTTTTCTTTAAAGTTGCAATATGTAAGTTTTTGTTATTGTTTGGGGTAAACCCATTTGTAAGTTTTGTTTTTGAAAATTGCAATGCATAAGTTTTTGGTTTCATTTATTGTCAGACAACAAAAAAAATTTAACTGACAAAATTTTGTGAATTTGGATTGATTTGTTTCAAATTTTATCATATACATATTTGACTATTGTATCATTCTTATATTTGAAGGTACCATATGAATAATAGTTTCTTCTTTGTTTTGTATGTATCATGTACAAGAACATGGGAGTGTTTTGTTCTTAATATTTTCTATGTAAATGAAAAAAATAAGCTTTATTTATGCATTATACCATTTGTGAATGAAAGTTTTTTTTTTTTTTTTTTGTTAATTCTCATGTGTCTTTCTTTGACATTCGTAATTGGTTTGGTGGGTTCACGTTATGTGGTTATATTTTGGTTTTCGATTTTGTTTTCGGGTTAAGTATTTTGTTAATTAATTTATTAGGAAACTATGATTTCATTTAAGATTAAAAACTTTCTTCCGTCTTTGAGTTCATTCGCATTTATACATTAAAAACTTCGCATTTTCATTCAAATTCTTCGCATCTTGCATCCATCCGTCTTTGAGTTCATTCGCATTTCATCGCATTAACTGAGAAATTAATCAGTTGTCTCATATTCGCATTTCAGTTGTTTGAGAAACCCAGATACGAACCCAAATGCGAAACCCACTGATTTCAAATGCGAACCAACCAAAAATCATCAACCACGTACTTGTGTCACCAAATGCGAACTGAATATCACCATTAAATTCTCCTCGCATTCTATAGATGCGAACACAATCCAGATCTCCGACTCCAAGCTTGCGAAATCAAAATCAATTAACCTCAAACAAATCGTGAACTTCTTATGCGAACTGTTTTGACCCACAAAACCAAATGCGAACTCAATTGATGTCATATGCGAACTGATTTCATAGATGCGAACACAATTGATTTCATATGCGAATCCACATCCATCGATATTCACCTCTATCCTTTCTCGATCAACTACCTCATTGTTTTTCAGTAATAAGTGTTTATCCCCATGAAACTGCATCCACTTCCAACTGGATTAACCTATATTCATACTAAAATTTTAAAAAAATAAATAAATGCTAAAAAACCAAATAGGTTACTAAAATAAAAATAAAAAATTCATACCCATAATTAAAGCTATATGCTACTTCATCGTTTTTCAGTGATAACTGGTTTTCGTCCATCAAACTGTATCCACTTCCAACTCTGATTAAATTATTAGACCTGTATTAAAAAACAAGGAAAAAGTAAGAGAATTTTATACGTTTTTTCATGCAATTCCTATTTTTTTTTTTTAAGAATCTACAAAAATAATAATTAAAATTGAATTACATGTAAAACCAATTCAAAACAAAAAATCTTATTTTGTTTCCCGGTATAATTTTGAATACTTTTCAACTAATAAGATAAAAGTAAATCAAAATGGATTACGAATTTTCAAATTTTATTATAAATATACACATAAGTATGAACTATATGTAATCCTTTCATAACAAACTTTTAACCTATATATATATATATATATATATATATATATATATATATATATATATATATATATATATATATATATATATATATATATATATTATCTTTACTACTTATAAAAGAAATCTAACTATTTCTATAAATAGATTGAATATAATAATATTATTTTTTTAAGACGTACAAACGATTAAGCTAATATTACAAACAACCATTAATAAAATAATATTAAATTTTAAATTTGTTTTGATTCCTTATATTTCTCAGCAAAATCCTAATTTCATGGTCATTCAAAATTTAAAACCTTTTCATCCTAATACGCTTCAACAAATATCCTTTAAATGTTGCATTTGCAGCTGATTAAAATATCTCATAGCAGACGTGTGTTTGTTCTCTCCACCTTATAAACCCTGCTATAAATCCCACTGCCATGAAGTATTTCCCTTATAAACCCTAATCGTTTTTCTCCCTCTCTTAGACGAAGACAATGTGTTTTTTTTAAGAAAAAAAGTTTGAAAATATTCCAATTTCTCAAAAAAATTTACCCCAAATGCGAAACTGGGTAAAATTTTCCATTTTGCGAAGACTACAGGGATGCGAAATGAAAATTCTGCACTTTTGTCTTTTTATGACCCCATTTTGCGAAGTTGGACCACTTATATTATTTCTTGAAAAGATCAGGTGCCAAATGCGAAACTCTAAGCTTTCTTCCCCAATTCGCATTTATACATTAAAAACTTCGCATTTTCATTCAAATTCTTCGCATCTTGCATCCATCCGTCTTTGAGTTCATTCGCATTTCATCGCATTAACTGAGAAATTAATCAGTTGTCTCATATTCGCATTTCAGTTGTTTGAGAAACCCAGATACGAACCCAAATGCGAAACCCACTGATTTCAAATGCGAACCAACCAAAAATCATCAACCACGTACTTGTGTCACCAAATGCGAACTGAATATCACCATTAAATTCTCCTCGCATTCCATAGATGCGAACACAATCCAGATCTCCGACTCCAAGCTTGCGAAATCAAAATCAATTAACCTCAAACAAATCGTGAACTTCTTATGCGAACTGTTTTGACCCACAAAACCAAATGCGAACTCAATTGATGTCATATGCGAACTGATTTCATAGATGCGAACACAATTGATTTCATATGCGAATCCACATCCATCGATATGAAACCAATACCAGTTACAAGCAATTAGTAGCAAAACCATCGATCCTCTAATTTTCAATTACTCAGCCTTCGCTTTTCATACAACCCGTCGACCCTGAAAAATCGATAAACACCAAATGTCTCATTTTTAGATCGATTTTCTGATTAAATGTCATATTTGAAGAATGATCGATTTTCTGATTAAATGACCCCATTTTGCGAAGTTGGACCACTTATATTATTTCTTGAAAAGATCAGGTGCCAAATGCGAAACTCTAAGCTTTCTTCCCCAATTCGCATTTATACATTAAAAACTTCGCATTTTCATTCAAATTCTTCGCATCTTGCATCCATCCGTCTTTGAGTTCATTCGCATTTCATCGCATTAACTGAGAAATTAATCAATTGTCTCATATTCGCATTTCAGTTGTTTGAGAAACCCAGATACGAAGCCAAATGCGAAACCCACTAATTTCAAATGCGAACCAACCAAAAATCATCAACCACGTACTTGTGTCACCAAATGCGAACTGAATATCACCATTAAATTCTCCTCGCATTCTATAGATGCGAACACAATCCAGATCTCCGACTCCAAGCTTGCGAAATCAAAATCAATTAACCTCAAACAAATCGTGAACTTCTTATGCGAACTGTTTTGACCCACAAAACCAAATGCGAACTCAATTGATGTCATATGCGAACTGATTTCATAGATGCGAACACAATTGATTTCATATGCGAATCCACATCCATCGATATGAAACCAATACCAGTTACAAGCAATTAGTAGCAACCATCGATCCTCTAATGAGGAAACAGTTTCCTATTCGATTGTGCTTTGCAATGACAATCAATAAAGCTCAGGGACAAACAATTCCATATGTAGGTATCTATCTTCCAGAACCAGTATTCTCGCATGGACAACTTTATGTTGCATTGTCCAGAGGGGTTTCACGTTGCAATACAAAAGTATTAGTAAAGCCTAACGAAAATTCAAAAGGTGATGGGGTTTATACAGCAAATGTGGTGTATAAAGAAGTATTGCACGATTAATATTTTGTGTCGTCTTGACTGGTTGCTTTTTATTGGTTATTTGATGCATGATGTAACAAATAACACCATAGTTTGATTATATTGTCTTCAACATGTACTTTTTTTTAACATAACAATTTTGTAATGGAAACATATCACCGAAAGAACTCACGTGCCCCGCCGCTTTGCGCGGGTAGACGGCTAGTATATATATATATATATATATATATATATATATATATATATATATATATATATATATATATATATATATATATATTATAAAAAATCTAAAGTTGAATCCACCACTCAAATGGGCTACAAAAATAAAAAGTATAGAAGGAATGGAGCTCCTTCATACAGCCATACTCCATCGTAAACATGGATATTATCTCTCCCCAATCCCTGATTCTAGTCTTCCCGATTTTTTTGTTCATCTACTATTTCTTCTTTCTTCACCCAACAAAATCCAAATACACCACTCAAACCGGCTTCAAAAATTACCCAATACTAGGAACCCTCCCGGAATTTTTCGTAAATCGACACCGTTTTCTTGAATGGAGCACCCAAGTCCTCTCCCAGTGTCCAACCAACACCGCCGTCTTCAGCCGTCCTGGAAAAATCAATGGCGTGCTAACAGCCAACCCTGCAAATGTCGAACACATGCTCAAGACCAATTTTGACAACTACCCAAAAGGAACCAAGTTCATGTTACTTCTTGAAGACTTTCTCGGCCGTGGTATCTTCAATTCCGACGGCGAAGCGTGGAGGGCACAGCGTAAAACCGCCAGCTACGAGTTTAACACCCGCTCCCTTCGGAATTTCGTGATGGAAACAGCCGCCGTTGAGTTACATACCCGATTCGTACCGGTTCTTGAACGCGCTGCGGATGTAAACAAAGTGATTGATCTTCAAGACCTTCTTGAGAGGTACTCTTTCGATAACATATGTAAGGTGGCATTCAACGTGGACCCCGGTTGCCTCGCTGGCGATGGAACTTCCGGTAGTGAATTCATGAAAGCTTTTGAAGAAGCTGCGACGCTTAGTTCCGGGAGATTCATGTATATTCTTCCAGGTTTATACAAAATCAAGAAATTCTTGAATTTTGGTTCGGAATTTAAGTTGCAAAAATCCATAGCCACCGTTCATAAGTTCGCCGACGATATCATAAAGTCGAGAATGGAGGAAAGGACGGAAGAAACCGACGAGGATTTGTTGTCACGATTCATGGGTAACTCGGAATACTCACCGGAGTTTCTCCGGGACATTGTCATAAGCTTCATATTAGCAGGTCGTGATACGACATCGTCAGCTCTCACATGGCTTTTTTGGATTTTATCTTCACATCCCGAAGTAGAGCAAAAGGTACTCGACGAATTGAAAGCCATCCGGCTTAGCTCAGGCGAAAGTCGCCGGGATTGTTACAGTTTCGACGAACTCCGGCAGATGCATTACCTGCATGCTACAATCTCTGAGGGATTACGGCTGTTCCCACCGGTGCCGGTGGACACAAAGTCTTCGCTGAAAAACGATATCATGCCAGATGGGACGTTTGTCGCAGAAGGATGGTTCGTTACATATCACACATACGCAATGGGGAGGATGAAGAGTGTTTGGGGGGAGGATTGCTGTGAGTTTAGGCCGGAGCGGTGGCTGGAGGAGGAGGAGAACGGCGGAGGAATAATGGTGTATAGACCTGAAAATCCGTTTAAATTTCCTGTGTTTCATGCCGGACCCAGAATCTGTTTAGGGAAAGAAATGGCGTATACTCAAATGAAGTTGGTGGCTGCGACGATCATTGAGAGGTTTCAGGTGGAGGTGGTGGAGGAGAAGAATCCGCCGGAGCATGTATTGTCGTTGACGATGAGGATGAAAGATGGGTTAAAGGTGAGAATCAAGAAACGATGAAGGGGTAAATGGGTAACGAGTGGGTGTTGAGTGGATGATAATATGATATTGTGGTATACAAAGGGTTAACTTTATACATTATGTATGAGAAAATGATTTATAAGCCCAATGAAGTTTTCAAACTGTTTAAAAAACCCAAATCATGTTTTGTGTGTCCAAAAAAACTCAACGAACTTTATATTTTGTCTAAAAATCTCAACTAAGTTACACTTTTCTGAAAGTCAAATAAGAGAAATAGATGACGTGGCTTATTACCGTATCGGGAAAATGACTTGTTAGACCAATAAAGTTTCCAAAACGTTTACAAAACTCCGATCATGTTTTGACTGTTCAAAAAAAACCTCAATGAACTTAAACAAAACAAAATTGAAATTTTTTGAACGGTTTGGAACTTTGTTGGACTTTTTAGACAAAAAGTTAAGTTTGTTGGGTTTTTTTGAACAAACAAAACATAATTGAGATTTTTTGAATGGTTTGGAAACTTTGTTGGGCTTTGAAGTCATTTTCCCTATGTATAAATTACTCTCTATATCTGTCACTAATAGTTAAGTTTCTTTTCGTAATTCACTAATATGTGTAAGTGTAACTACCATTTCTAGGTTATTTACATACATATACAAGACGTTTATTAATAGAAAATGATTGAATGACACATATCATAAATACGACAATACGAGAATCTGTTGGATATTTAAAGGCTTCAAGAAAAAGATATTTATGACTAGCTACATGTTTGAAATAATCAATAATAGAATGAACTAGTTGGTTTTCATTTTGTATTGTTTTTTTTTTTTTTTTTTTTTTTTTTTTTTTTTTTTTTGAAAGGGAACTTCCCTAACGAGGGTTTCCGGACCAGCTTTCGCGCACCGACTAATTCCCCGCTGCAAACATGAGGCTTTGCCTCATGCCCTGGAGTCACTGCAGGCGAACCTCTATGGCCACAAGGGCTTAGTAGTGCCAGGATTTGAACATGGATCAATAGGTTATCCACCATATCTTCCACATGCCTTACCAAGTCACCACAACCCAAGTGGTTATTTTGTATTGTTTTGAAGGAAGAAGAGAAAGCCATTTATACACGACACGTATTGAATTCTACAACATAATGATATGATTTTTTTTTTTTTTTTTGGAAAGGAAACTTCCTTAACGAGGGTTTCCGGGCCAGCTTTCACGCACCGACTAATCCCCCGCTGCAAACATGAGGCTTTGCCTCATGCCCTGGAGTCACTGCAGGCGAACCTTCATGGCCACAAGGGCTTAGTAGTGCCAGGATTTGAACATGAGTCAATAAGTTACCCACCATATCTTCCACATGCCTTACCAAGTCACCACAACCCAAGTGTTTATATGATTTTTTGTAGTAGTATTATAGTCTTTTAAAACATAAATTTTTATTATATAAATAAAAAATGTTACTTTCCAAAAAAAAGAATATTAAGTATACTGAACAAGACTGATATGTTCAAAGCTATATTGAAAACAAATCATTAGTTTTTTAATATTTCAAAGTGACATGAGGTGACAAGTGACAACCATATTCGTTTATTATTGTCCCGACAAATAAAATTCCAATCACCAATGACCAAATCACATGGATTACAAGCACATTGGATCCAATTCATGTGTTATTTGGTGAATCAAGGCAGAGTCAATATATCATCACTTGCTTTTGTCTTGCAATTTTATGAAAACAACTTAGCTGGGATGAGTGGGATAGCTCTTCTTTTTCTATATGTAATTGTCGATTTGTAAACTCTGTTTGATCTTGTTTTTTTTTCTGCCCTTTCTCTGCTCCTTCCGCATATCAATATATGGCCGTTTCAAAAAAAAAAAAAAAAAAAAAATCTAATCCTACTTTTAAATTTAGTTTCTTTCTTACTGAACCTTCAACATTGATTGATATGTATATAAATGTTTTCTTAAAAGTGGTTTTTATTATGGGATTTCGTTTAAAATTTGGTCCCTCAATTTTGTTAGCTTCTAGTTAGGACACTATGAGGTTAACATTTTACCTTTATTTTAAAATTTTTAAGATCAATTATTATTATTATTATTATTATTATTATTATTATTATAAACCCACCCTCAACCCACCCATATACATATACCTTCCTTCATCATATGCGCACAACCTTATCTTCTCCCCCTCCTCTTTAGGAGAGTGTCTTTGTCTAATCTTTGGCTTCTCCGGTATCCATCCACATCGTCCCATTTGTTACATTACACAAACCACCAACCTTCACCACATCCTCCAAATCCATTCACATCGTCCCATTTGTTACATTACACAAACCACCAACCTTCACCACATCCTCCAAATCCATTCAGTGAAGGCCTCTGATTATTATAAGGGTTAACCCATTTTTTGTTCTCTAACTTCAAGTTTTTGTGACAAACATGGGCTGTATGTTTAATGTAGCAACCCAACAAGCATTGGTTTCCATTTCTAAATGTTATAGCAAATTTGGAAGTACATCATAGATATCTAAAATCCCAATTATCTACTTCCCAACGCTTATTATCCGTATTTGATAAAAATCGACTAACAACATGTAACATCCAAATTCTTGGAAGTATTTAAAACTAATGTATTTTGGATTTTGGGCGGTACCACGTCATGCTGAAGGCATCCCACGACGTAGTGATGATCGATGTATCGTGAGTTTTGAACAGCCGCCACGGTGTGACCGCCTATGGCCACGACATGGCAGTTGTTTAATAAGAAACCCTAATATCCGGAGTTTGCACCCTATTTATGGGAATGTGATGGCTAGGGTTGCTCACCCTTAGCCTCCATCACACTCACTCAACCTCCAAGCCTCCATTTTTGCTCTCTAAGCTTCTTGTGCTAATTCTTGGGGATTAGAAGAAGAAAGAGGTGACTCTTAGTCTTGGATTCAACAAGCAACTCTTCTCATCATCTTATTGTGCATCTTCTGGACTTTTGTAAGTCCCCAAGTTCCACTCTTTTTGGTTTGTTGTGCATAGATCTAGGTTTCTATGCCTTAATCTTTATGTCCTTGGTTATTGAGTGGTGAGATCTCATAAATTTTGCAACTTTATAAATCTCCGGGTCATTTTGGGCCTTTGATGCTTTGGATATGGAGTAATATTGAGTTTTAGCATCATACATGGAAGATTTTGCTAAAAACTCTCATTTTGACCTAATAGAGTCCAAGACATGCATTGTGTAACAGCTCGAAATTTTCAGGTATTTATTTTGGATTTATTTATGGAAATTGTGAGTGGACTCGGCGAGTTGGAGCCCAAACTCGCCGAGTAGGATCGCGGATTTGGGCACGGGTTCGCGTCCGGACTCGACGAGTCCAAGGGTGGACTCGGTGAGTCCACGCTGTGTGGTGAAACCCTAATTTCCGGGGATTGAGACCTATTTAAAGGGCCTTATGACTGTCATTTGTGCTCACCCAACCCTTAGAGAGAAACCCTTGAGTGCTTGAACGTTTTGAGAGAGAAAGGAAGCATTCTTGACCCTTGTGTGTGTCATTTAGCAAAGAAGGAGAAGATTCTAGGCAAGAGGAAGCAAAGGAGGTTGCTATTCTGTGGATTTGAAGCTTAGATCATCAATCTAGAGGTATGATTTCGGATTACTTTCTGTTTTGTGAAGTATAATGGGATCTAGGGTTTCTTATGGACATTTATGGGATGATTTGATGCCAAATAGTTCCCTTCTTGTGTTGAGGCTCTGGATCTGGATCCATAGAGGTCCAGAGAGCCTCACTCATCAAGCTTTATGTATAGCAATGGAGTTTATGACCTTGAGTTGTAGTATTTGAGACAAAAACATCATTTATGGTCATATAGAGATTGTATGTGCATCAAGATAGTGACTTTACGTGCTAAATAAGCTTGGAAGGACTGGATCTATGGGTTAATGGACTGGATCTGACCTTATGAGCAAGTTTGAGTCATTGCATGGCATGGACTCGGCGAGTAGTATGAATAATGCCCGACCACACAGCGAGTGGTCTTGCCGAGTTGGGAAGGATTGACTCAGTGAGTCAGGGGAAGTCAGAGTGGACAGGTGGACTGAGTCAAGCTGGACTCGCCGAGTTGTTCTTGAGACTTGGCGAGTTGAGTCGTGGTGGCCCCACAACTCATGCCAGGTGGAACTCGTCGAGTTAGAGAGAATGCTCGACGTGTCAAGGGAGGATTTCAGGGAAATCAGTGTATACGCTCAGACTCGCCGAGTCGCTATAGTGCACTCGCCGAGTCCGGTCAAAGATTGACCGTTGACCGTTGACTTAAGTTGACTTGTTAAAGAGTAGTCAACCTTAGTTGGGAAAGTGTTAATTAGAGATGTATTGTGATTTAGGAGGACTTTAGCTCGGGAGATCGAGCACTAGTGATTTCAGGATTCACGACTTACTGAGACACACGAGGTGAGTCTTCTCACTATACTTTACCTTGAGTAGGTAACCAGAGTTATGTGATAGAGTAATTGTATGCTATGTATGTTATATGTTGTACTGCATTATTTCTATGTGATTTATGCTGTGCATGTTTACAGAGTTAGAACCTGAGGGTTCACAGAGTTTGGGTGTACGGACCCACAGAGTTATAGCCTCGAGTGGCTAATATGTGTTATATGTGGTATTTTGGGGAACTCACTAAGCTTTGTGCTTAAAGTGTTTGATGTTATTGTTTCAGGTACTAGTGACGACCGCGGGAAGGCGTCGGCTTGATCCGTACACACACGGAGTTTATACATTTGTGATCTTGGGATTTTGTATTTACTTGAATTGGATAATTAAATATGGTTGTTTTATGAATATTAAATGAATTATGTTTTATGAAAATCTGAAAAAAAAAAATTGTTTTGAAATTTACGGTGTTACACATTGGACATATATGTCTAGAAAGTAAGGATTTTTATGTTGTTATTTAATGCTAGAAACGTTCTGGAAATGGGGATTTAGTAGTCTTCAAGAGAAAGTGTTTAATGGGCTAAAGCCAGGTTATGTTTTTGTCCTATTTGAATCTAGAAATGTGATCTCTATCCATTATAGAGTCTAAAAAGATAAAGTTGGAAGCTTTATCCACTTGGATCTTAGAATGGACCAGATATGGGCTTTGGAGCCTTTAAGATCAAGGAAATCGACTTAATTTGTTAAGTTGTTGGGAGCCCAATGCCCACGACGTGGCCTTGGTCTCCATGGCGTGGCGGCTAGGCTGAGACTCGCTTATTTTGTCATTTAGTGGTCACAGCATGGCCACAACGTGGCGACCTATTATTGTTGACCTTGACTTTGACCAAGTTTGTCATAAGGATATTTTGGGTATTTTAAGTTATGTTTGAGATTTGTCACTATTTGATGAATAGGTTGCTGGTGGAGCTGATATTCGGAGCAGAGACCTATTCAGCAATTTGTTCGAACTGAGAGTGAGTTTTCATCACTGTACTTGTGGATCGAAGGCACCAATGTCGGTCCGCTAGGTTATGTATCATGATATATAGGATGATGTTATGTTAGTTATATGATAGATTAGTAAATCTATATGATTACATGTATGTTGGATATGTGTTTATGTTTATATGTATGTGTCGACATATTGTGGATGGGTTGAGGCAATCCAGCTTTGTGCTAAATGCCAACAAACCCAAAGTGGTCCGGATATACTGTAGGCCCTGTGAGGCGGTCCAGTCAGGCTGAAGGCTCATATTTGTATGTTCTTGTTTGTTATGTTGTGTGATGGTACTTTAGGGGAACTCACCAAAATTTGGCAAATGGTTTCAGGTACTTCAGATGATCATGGGAAAGCGAAGACGTAAACGTGCACATCTTCCTATTTTTATGATATTAGATCTTGGTATACTTTGATTATGATTATACTTTTGAAACAATGGTTTTTGTAAACACTTTATGGTTAATGGGTTGTTTTTGAAAATTTTAAATTTCTATGATTTTTAGGATGTTACACAACACCTACTACATGGGCAATATTAGGACTTGTGCACAACATAGAATACAACAAACTTCCAATAGCTTAGACATATGGAACTCGATACATCCATTTAATACCCTTCTTAGAAGATGATAAATCTATATCTAGTAAAAGGTGAACTAATCAGTGTAGCTTTATCCATATTGAATTTGTAAAACTTCTCAATGTATTGATTTTGTGACATGTGCAACTTTTTTGAAGTTGTATATTGAGTGTTACGAATGCCAAGAATACGTTTTGCTAACCTTAGCTCGTTCGTAACAAAAGATTTGCTTAATTTTCTTTGCGGTGTGATATTTATCTATGCCTTCTTGCCAAAAATTAACATGTTATTAACATATATCAATAAAATGATCAATTCATTATCACCAACCCTCTAAAAGAAACAACAGTGATTTAGAGTAGTCTTTTGGTAGCCTTTCTCTCCATGACTCGCTCAAAATTATTATACTACTATCTTGGTGATTGCTTTAACTTGTAGAGAATTTCTAAAGTCTCTTAACACTCATTTGCTCAACCACAAGATCAAGGCTAGAGCTAATCCAAGAATCACATAAATATAACACATCATTATGGTTGGAGAAAAAATCTTATCAAAATCAATACTCTTTCTATGATTAAACTCTTTGACCATCAATCAAGCCTTGTACCAATATAGGCTCAAAACATATTCTCTCCAATCTTCAATTGTAGACCCATTTGTTGCCTAACACCCTAAACGTGTCATTTTATGTACTTCAATACGACAATAGATACTATACAACTTTTTGTTGGTCCCCATTAAATGTAACTACTGATAATAATATTAACGGTATGGAGGAATTAAATACAATAAATTCGAAGTCTGACAATAATTACTTATTAAGAAAATCTTAGAGCTTTAGCACACAAAATTTGTTGCAGAACAAACCTTGTAGGAAAACTTTTGAATATATAAACCCAAAAATATAAAGATCATGGTAATGAGCGTTCTGTCTATGCTGCACACCCTTCCTTAATCAAGTCACGAAAAATAGTTTTTAATGCCTTCATACTCGAGTGACAACTAAGTAGTCCTAGGTTTCATATTTCCATATTTATACCCTAAACTTCATATTTCCATACATTTTAATCTTCTATATTAGGTACAAAATCTTGCATGTACCCTAGCCATATATATTCACACATGGCATATATAACAAAACAAATCAAACACCCCCAAAAGGCCAAAACAAATAGAACATCCAAAACCACATTAAAGACTTCAAAATCTACAAACAAATCTATACGTGAAAAAAATGACACATTATCAATCAAACATGCCACTTGCAGTTTATATACTCTCTATCACCTACACTAAAAACAATTGGATGCCTTCACCAAGAAGAAAATGACTAAATTCTCCTTCAAGCCATCCTTGAACACAAAACACAAATGGGATCAGCTGATTCTTCATCATGTGCACCATTCTTCAAGCATTCAGTATGGAATGCATGCCCACATGCCAAAATATCAACAATAGGAAGAAGAGGAGGTGCACGCTCATCAAAATAACCATAATCACCACCACCATCATCATCATCATCACCATATAAGGAATCTTCATTATATTCAGATTCTTCATCATCTTCAGAATCAGATTCTATTGAAGAAGAAAGATCCTTGTTGCATAATACACAGATCTGTCCACAATGCCCACTTCCCAGTTCATAACCTATGATTTGAGAGCATAGTTTCAGTCAATCAACTAAACCCTAAACCCACATAAAACAAATGATATGATAAAAAAAAAGATATCTTTTGGGCATACCTTCCCATCTGATATGATAAACTGGATCATGGAAGAATGGTTCCAATTGACTAGAAGAAGGTTGATTCTTGTCATGGTCAGCCATGGATGTAGTTAAAGGTTTTTTACTTCCAATATCTGTACTTGGGAATGGAGGAATTTTTGGATAAGTTCTTTTGAGTTCAGTTTCCGAAACTACCCTCCTCTGTATAATAGGTGAAGAATCTTTAGAACCATTCTTTTTTGGGGTTTTCTTATTTTGGGTAACCTTTGAAGCCTTTTTTCCTTCGGTTTTTTGAACTTTATTCCTCAGATTATAAGTTGGAGGACCCATTGAACCTTCAGGTTTTGGATCTTTACTCCTCAAATTGTAAACAGATCTCTTTTTACTTGTCTTTGAGTCATCCTTGCCACCATGTTTATCTCCACAAGACCCTTCTCCCAGTTTCTCCATTGTTGTAGTCCTGAAGAAAGCACTCCATGGTTATAGCAGCCCATTGAAATAAATAAAGTAGAAATATACTGTCATATTAATCAGAAACTATAGCTAGTTACGGTTCATTTTAATCATTTTTCACAATTCTCCATCCTCATTTCAGCAGATGGAAACCATTATCAACATTTTCATTTCATTTCATATCAAGTAAAAAGGACCTAAACCCAAAATGTCGCAGAGTGACAGGAATTTGACCCTAAATTGGGTAACGAAGATACACTTGATATAACAATGTGAGCAGAGATACATGGTATCCTGCACAAATTGTATGGCAAATCCGAAGTGTAAGCTAACTCAAACTCACATGCGCTCAGCACAATTAGACATATGTTTAGGTTTATTATCAATTGAAGTAAGGAGAACGTGTACCTAAATGTGCAATAATGATTCGTTTGTTCTACTTCTGTGAAATGAAAGATGAAATGTGCAATAAAAGACGCTAAAAATTGCTTCAAACCCTAGCTAGAATTCTCGTGTTACGCGGTACAGACAAAACAGAATACGTCACTCTGTTTATAGTAAGTTACAATTGATCGTTTATCGTACAAGCAATTCAAAACCAGAAAACACGAAGAGAACCATCGACAAATTCACAAACAAACCCTAATTTTCCGATCCTAATTCGATTTAAAAATCCGCAGATAATGAATAACAACTCACCGGATAAATTACAGAATCAATACCAAATATCGATGTAGAAGGGTCAAGAAAGAGAACATCGGCGAATCAACAGACGGATTTTCGTAAATTTGGGGAAGAAATTGATCGAGAATTTTCAAGACTGAGAGAGAAATGAAGAGGTTTCTAGGGCTTTGACGCTATTTATAGTTTTCCATCCTGTAGGCCCGGCCCGATATAATTTATTCATTTTCAAACAACAATCATTGGGCCCAACAACTAGTAAAGATTTTAATTTTCTTGTCTTTAAAAGAAAACATTTATTCTTGTAATGACGCAACTTTTTTTTTATTATGTTCTTTAGATTATTTCTATTTCCGACAAATGGTATTTTCATCATCTATTTAATACTATTAATAAATTATACATAAAAAAACAGTTCTATTTTCATAAATATTTAGCGTTACTTTTGGCCTTTTAAAGTTATAAAACATTATGTTACGAAATAAACGGCATCAAGAGATAATATATACAAAGTTTTTCATATAAAGAGAGAATTTATATACAAATAAGTGGGAGAAAGCGATCAAACATAAAAATTCCATCAACAAGTCAAGCAGTATATATATACACTTCCTCCCGCATCTTTCACATTTCTTCCATCATATCTCCACCGGACATTTTAGATCAGGAAGCAGCGGCAGGTGGCGGGGGAACGGCGGTTTCCGGCAACATCGCCACCGTGACAACAAAAAACTCACACCCAACTGCTAAACCATACGGATTTCCATCACCACTATTAACCTCCTTCACAGTTTGTCTCTCAATATGCACAATCTGTCCCACAATGTAGGCGGGCTGCTGGCGGCTGTTGTCGGCATACAAGGCGGCTGATTCTTGAGAAAGATAGTAATGATTACAGTTCCTGTTTATTGCCGTGTAGTAACCAGATTTATCGAGCACAAATGCAGCAATTTCATGGAGCTCTAAACGCCCAAAAGATATCTTTTCCTTGTTAGCCTGGTTCAAAAAGTAAACAAAAGTTTTATTATTCGAGTTTATTATAAGTTAAAATATTGACAAAAAAATTAAAAAATAACCTGTTTTTCGGATTGGTGTTTGATGTATAAAGTGTTGACTAGTTCTTTCTTTTCTTCCAACTCTTTTGTAAGCTGTTCATGAGACGCCTCGGCTTTTGTGTATTGGTCAATAAGCTCGGCTCGATGTCGTGTTAAAATACCGACTTTTTTAGCGAGCACGTGAACACATTCGCGGAATTCAGCAGTGCCATCATCCCCATTTTCGTTTGCAGAACTGAGAATTTTTTTTTTTTTTTAAAAAAGATTTAAAAAGTTGTAGTTATGGTTTAGGATTTAATGTGAAATTTTGACTTACGTGGCAAGAGATTGAGCTAAAGAATTGAGTGAGTCAGCAAAACCAGCTATGCCACCTGCAGAGACACATGTTTTAAGACGTTCGAAAAGGCTGCGAACTTTTAAGGTGGACCCACGCAATGCGTTATACTCGGATGCTCTTCTATCGGCTGCACAAAGATGAGTTTGAGCCTCTTCTCGTGCTTCATGAAGACAATTCTCTAAATGTGCACAATTCATCTGTAAAATTACCAATTTCAAAAAAAAAAATGAAAAAGAAATGAATTATCTAAGAGATCTGTCACAAACCTAATTACGGATTTTCAACTGGACATTTTAAACCTTAAAAAAAGGACACGAAATTTGGAATTGGGTTAAGATTATACCGACATTACCTGAGATTCATCTAGAAGCTTCCGGCTAATTTCCAGATCCCGACCAAGCTTTCCTACCTCCTCTATTGCAGCCTGAAGTTTAGCTTCGACTTCAGTCAACTCATTTGACTTTTCTTCTAGAAGATTCTGCAATTCCATTACACGATCCCCAATCTTCCCATGTTCACCTCCCTCACTTTTCGGAAGTTGTACCATGTTGTCAGCCGTCGAACTTCCAACCAATGGCATCCCGACGTCTGGCGCCTGTTCCTCTTTCACGTCTTTTTCATTCGCATCCCGATGTGGGTCCCGCATGGATGAATCCAAATGAGGATTCAAGATTCCCGATGAATTATAACCAAATGAACCCTCATCCATATGAGCTTCCCCATCACCTGAAATCTCAGATTTCCCAATTGAGAAAGAATCATTTTTATCGAGTTTATTTTCTTCTAATAAATACTCATCAGATAACCTTCCTTCCAATTCCTTTATCCGTTTTTCATACAACTCAAACTGAATTTGTTTCTCTTTTAAAATTGATTCCAGTTGTTTCCCGTATTCATCTTTCAAGCGTAACGCCTCAGCCGTCTTTTCCGCCCCATCTTTAAGTAAAATGTCCATTTTACCCTCGTCCCAACATTCAGCTTCTACATCCATGGGGTAAAAACAAAGCATGGCTATACAAGAAGCAAGTTCAGCTTTCAACTTTGCATTCTCAACTTCCATTTTACTTGTCCCCGAAATCCCAATAAAGTCCTCAGATTCATCGCACTCTTCGTTTCCATCCACAGAACTTTTAAAAGAAAACCCACCTAACTCCCCAGGGGCAAAACGGTCCAAATCTGAAATATCAAGATCTAGTAAATTCCCATCAAAAGGGGCTACATTCACATCACATGTACTTGGCATATCATACAACCCCATTAATGCTAAAACATCTCTCGGGATATATAAACTATGAATTTTAATAAATTCTTCACGTCTCCTAACTTCAGAATCCCTTTTATTTGCAAGCCTTTCTGCCAGCTGTCCAGCCATTCCCATATAAAGTTTCATTGATGCCTTTCTTCTTACAATTTCAGCAAGACACGCGCGATATGCGGGCCCTATCCCACGAACAATTTTTAATTGCTCAAATTGAACATTTTGGCGATTTATTGCTTCATTGAAAACCGAAAATTTGTACCTAACATCTCTTATTGTGTACTGAATGTATGCAATTTTTTGCATGTATTCGTGTACAAAAGTATTCATTTCGGATTTTTTTTCTTTGCAAAATGTATATAGATTTGAAATATAGCGCTCACATGAATGCATTTTTGGAAGATGGTTTTTTTCATGGCCCTCGTACATGAGGCCCAATGCTGACACAGCATCGTGGGGTCGGAGGGAATTGGAGAGTTGACTGGTCAAACATTCATCTACGAGCTTCTTTACCATGGCGACATCTTTGCTGCATTAATTTGGATCCGAAATCAAACGTGAGAATGGTTTAATCGTAAAATGGAGTTAAAACAAGAAATTGAATCTTTAAAACCAAAAGTGGACTTTTTTGAGGGACGATTTTCAAAACTAAAACTTGGGTCCTTTTGCGGATGAATCTTTATAAAGAAAAGTTGATAACTTTTTGGGGAAAAAGGAAATATATTTATTCTATTTGGTGTTCCTTTTGTTATTACTATTCAATGTAACAAAAGTTTTGTTTCTACTATTCATGGCATAATTACAAACAACGCAACAAAATCCACTTTAAGATCTCCGATAAAAATTGCAACATTTCCCTTTGGAGAAAATTTCATGTTGAATTTATGTATTTGCGAGTTCCTCATAATGCCATTAACTAAGTTCACCAAATACCCCTATGTTGTTATCATTGAAGGGTAGTTTAGGCATTTGACTAATATACAATGTAGCAAACAAATATATATATATATATATATATATATATATATATATATATATATATATATATATCAATCATACAATCTACCTAACACCAAAACTAACACGTAGATACCTCAAAATTTTGCAAAACTAAGTATATATCTACATGTAACAAGTTACATAGTAGAAATTACTGACCTCAAAGCTTGCATTATGCTTTTCTGCTCATTTATATATTGTCTATGCTCCTTGATAGTTCTTTCCAGATCTCTATTAATAATAGAAGCTTCACTAGAGAACAAAAGTTCAGTACTACCCTTTAGCTCTCTAAATTCTTGCTTAAAATCACCAACTTTAATCTCAAACTGCCTGTGAGAATTACCACAATCCTCCACCATTTTTCTCAAACTTTCTTCCTTAACAAAATCTGATAAACACCTGCGATTATCACTCTGTAAAGCAGGATGAAGTTTGACATTCCTTAATCTCTCCAAATCCCTCCAAAAATTCACCAAAAGATTCGAATGCGACCTTTGCTGATGCGAATAACGTTTCACAAAATCATTGTAGTTATGGAGGATCATCTTATAAATATGGTCCAAATTACCCCTGGCAATTTCCAATGCCTTTTCTTGTACCCTTTGCTCCCTTGAAAGACGCTCACAGGTTTCATATTTCAAAAGGGTACGTCGGTAAATTGCGTCTCCTAGCTGATAATGGTACCTGAATTGTATTTCATATGAAGGTAATGCTTTTAGGGCAGGATCTGAAGCTTCGTCTAATGGGTGAGGTTCATGGGATGATGATGATGGTTTTGCTGGGTTTGGGTGGATATGATCAGGTGCTTCGAGGTGCACTGGTTGTGGTGGGGTTGAATTTGTACGCATTTTGGCTCTGTTAAACAAGAACACTTCTCTATCATCTGAAGGAAGTTTGTATGAAGAAAGTGGTTGTTGGGGTTCTAATTTCATGTCTAGATATAAAAGAAGTTGGTCGTTTAAGGGTATCCCTGAAAGTGATTCGAGGTACCTTTGAACAGCTTCAACAAGGGTATATTCGTCACAATTGAGATCAAAAGAATGGCCATTTTCGGCAATATGAACTATAAGCTTTCCCCTTTGTATAACCCCTTCCGAACCACCGCCACTTGAACTCATCTTCTCCGAATGATTTCCAAACTCAATCAGAAATCATAAATTAGGGAGTTGAAAAAGACGAATATGCCCTCAACGAATTGGATAACATCCAGCTATTGGTTTACCATGAATGAAATCTGCAAGGCGATTTAAGTTCAAATCTTAATTAAACCCTAAAAAATCAACGCACACCAATAAAATCCAGAAAAGTAATGTAAACTCCAAAAAGAGAAAAAATCCAACGAAGTTATTGTGAAAAATAAAAACCCTAATACTCACCAACCAGAAAGATTCTGTCAAAAGAACCCTAACTTTATGGAAATTAAAACTCACACCTTCCAAATTGTAAAGAATCGAACCGATTTAGTAAAATAAACGAATACCCAGAAACAGAAAAGGAAGAAATTGAATGAAGTATACTTATATACACTAGATTCCAACGATGAATTTAATGAAATAGCAGTGCGATAAATAGAGGGAATGCAATCGATAACGTGAAGCCAAGGAAGAAAACAGAACAAAAGGAATTACTTCGAATTTGGCCAAGAAAAAACAAGTCTATCACGAAACACTTTCTCTTTAATAATATCTTAAAATTGTATGAATAAAATAATGAAATTGTGTGATCGTTCTTCTTCTTGGGAAGAATATTATTATTAAATACGCAAGGGTGTCAATCAGTCAGATAGATAAGAACCTTCTGAGAAGAGTAACCCACAAGGCACAGCACATAGAAAAGAAAGAAAAAAGTTTGATCCTTTCTGTATCTTTATATTTTCTGTTCTTCCTCCACACCCACAATAAAGTCTTGGAAGAACAGAAGATTTAATCGAGCAGCCTTGATGGTTTATATGCATAATGTGTATGTGTCATATGTGTGTGTAAATGTCATAAATTCAACTATTTTTACTTTTACCCTATGTGATTTTCTTGTAACTATTTCGTCGTTTCCTATTGCGATGGGTTTTGGTTGATGATCATCCTTTTTCAATCATGGTTGTTAAAATTTTGTTTGGATTTGAAAATTGATGCCTTGTCTTTCTGAATATATGTCGTTGAGGTCCCTTGAAACTTTCATTTTCAGTTTTGTTTTACGATTTGTAAATTACAAAGTTAATTTTACTAGTAAATTACTTTGGTTTGATTAAAGTTGTAAGTTTGGTCCCTAACTTTTTTTTTTGTATTCGGATCGTTTTTATGGTTTGATTTTGTTGCGTTCGTTTCTTACATACATAAAGTTAGGAGTCAAACGTGCAAATTTGACCAAACCATAAGGACAAAAACGCTACAAAATCAAACTATAGGGATGACTCGAGTTCTAAAAAAAAATTAGGGATCAAACTTGCAAGTTTGACCAAATCATAGGGACGATTTCAATAGTTTACTCTTAATTTTGAGTAAATTACTGAAATCTTCCTTATGGCTTGATAAAGTTGCAAGTTTGGTCCCTAACTTTTTTTTGCATTCGGATCGTCCATGTGGTTTGATTTTGTTGTGTTTTTCGTCCCTTACATACATAAAGTTAGAGACCAAACGTGCAATTTTGACCAAACCATAAGGACAAAAAACACAACAAAATCAAACCACAGGGACGATCCGAGTGCTAAAAAAAAGTTAAGGATCAAACGTGCAATTTTGACCAAACCATAGAGACGATTTCAGTAATTTATTCTTAATTTTAATAAGTATTTTTATTGTTTACGGTATAAGATAATGAAAATAAAATACTTTGTGATATGGAACTATTGATTATTAAAGTTGCAATGGAATAAAATGTTATTAAGATGGAAAAACATATATTACAATGGTGTTTTTCATTCTTGATTTCGTTTAATCATATATTAGAATTATAAATTTATTTATTCATATAAATATAAATAAGTTGTACATTTTACTAACATATCATTTTGATCAATTTTATGTTTTGTATTTTGAGTCACAAATTTACAACTTAACTACCGATCTATGGTAACATTAAACTTAATAATTCTTCGTTAAGTCAGATTTTGTTAATTTAATGTCTGATTGAATTAGACATAACTTTTTACCAAATCTAATAAGACGTATATAAGAGGTCATAGGAAAAAATTATACCCCGTTAATTATGATATCAAACGGTTCAATTATGACTTAGTGAGCCACAATTTTTAAGCCTAGTAAAGACATCAAACAACCCCTAATTCACATGTTTACAGCCTAATTAAGGATCTTTGCTGACGATTATCGATAAATTTGGCATTACTTATGCAGTCATGTGTGTTACATTGACTATTTAAAAAAGAAATTAGATTTTTAATAACTAATTATACTGATGTTTAGATGTTTAGATTTTGCTGGTTCAAATAAAAAAGAAATATATGTGTTAACAATAGTCAAAACCATTAAGAACTTTTTATGGCTTTTTAATGTTTTCTTTTAACTTTTGTCACATTGCAACAAATGCTTCAGCATAAACCAACACTAAGGGGGCGTTTGGTAAGGGGTAAAATGAGGGCAGAAAAACCATTCATAGGGAATGGATAAATGGATGTTTGGTTGGAGTAAGGAAAGGATATCATTATTCAAAGGGGAATCTCATTCCCAGTGATCGGGACATTTTCATTCATGCGGGTACACATGATTATTTTTCATTCCATTGCCGCCCTATTGCCAATATTACGATTTTGACCTTCCTCATATTATCACGATTTGCAGAAAATTCAGGTAGCACAAAATCAATTTCCCATTTTCCCTCCATGCGCAATTGATTGGTTATGATAAAGAATTAATATTTCTAATTTTCATTTAATGGATATTCTAGCATATAATACAACCAACAAATCATCATCTTACACAATATATGATAAACAAATAATATTTGAAGTTTCATTGCTTTTAGTAAAAGCTCGTTACTATCGTTTTTTTTTGTCGTTAAAAAAATTCAATTACTAACTTGTTATTATAATAGAAAGGGTAAATTACACGAATCGTCCCTATGGTTTAGGGTAATTTGCATATTTGATCCCTAACTTATTTTTCTAACTCGGAAGGTTCCTACTGTTTGTTTTTGTTACACGTTTGATCCTTGTCTTACATAAAAAGTCTATTTTTCTCTTGATTTTTTAATTTATTTAAATAAAAACACCCCCAACCCTATCCCTTCACCTTACCTTACCCACCCTATAATTTTTTCCCTATTTAAATAACTATCTTTTTACGTAAGATAGGGACTAAACGCGTAACAAAAACAAAAAATAAGGACCAATCGTGTAACAATAACAAACAATAGAGACCTTCCAAGTTAAAAAAATAAGTTAGGGACCAAACGTGCAAATTACTCCAAACCATAGGGACCATTCGTGTAATTTACTCTAATCGAAAAGTATAACTTGTGACTAGTTAATGTTGAAATTATTGGCTTTTATGAGTTTTGTGTTGTATGAGTATTTTCATCATTGTCGAATATTACAACGAATATTTTCATTCCATTCCTTTATCTTTTTATACATACCAAACAACATGGATAAATGATTCATTTCATTCCATTAGCCTAGCCAAAACATGACAAATGAATGATAATGACCGATTCAATTACCTTGTCCATTCCATTACAAGATCCATTTCATTCCTTTGTCATTCCATTACTTCCAACTAAACATACCCTAAGTATTTAACTCCTGAAATATAATGTTTATTGGCGACATTATACAACTTATTTATGTTTGCTTTTCATATATATATATATATATATATATATATATATATATATATATATATATATATATATATATATATATATACTAGCCGTTTACCCGCGCTGAGCGCCGGACGGCAAAAAGTTTCTTTCGGAAGATAGTTTTAATGTGATGATTAGTTTCCTTTAGACGTGACATATTCATTGTGGCCATTTGGTAGACTATTTTGCATCGAATAGTTCATTTCAACATATAGTTTATTGCTAGGTGCATAGTCATACAATACGACAAAAGTTGAGTCTACATCTCAAATAATTCATCTAATACTTCATACTTGATTTTACAATATATAAATAACAACAATCTGCAACCATGTAGTTTTGTACATTTATAACATGTCCAATATATAAACTACACCAATCTGCAATCATGTTGCTTCATCTGCTAGCCCTGCATTAAACATCAAATAAGCATCTAAGATACATAGTTAAAGAAATTGTAAAACAATAAGTTGTTGATTGTACCTTGTTAATCACATAACACTTCTTTGTACACAACGTTTGATGTGTAGAATCCATCATTATCAAACGTTTTTCCGGCTTTACTAATACCTTGGTATTGACACGTGATATTCCTCTGGACAACGCCACATAAAGTTGGCCATGTGAGAATACTGATTCTGGTAGATAAACACCTACATTTAGAATTGTTTATCCTTGAGATTTATTGATTGTCATAGAGAAACTAAGCTGAATTGGAAACTGCTTTCTCTTAAGTTTGAATGGGAACATCTCATCGTCAGACGGACATAGAGGAATTCTTGGTAAAAACACTCTTTTTCCAGCATGTTGGCCAACAGCTATCTCTGCATCAATGACATTTTGTTGGAAAGCTCGACATATCAATCTGGTGCCATTACATAACCCATTTGAAGGATCGATATTTCGCAAAAGTATTACAGGGCACCCAGTTTTTAACCGAAGATAATGAGGGGGTACACCACTAACATTTAGCGAGTTCAAATATTCCATCGGATATAAGTTATTTTTGTCATCTTCCGCTTCATCAAAACTGTAGTAAACTTTTTGCTCGCCAGAAAATCGTTCGATCAACTTATTATTAATCTCATCAACACTTTCATTTTTAGTTGACAATATCGCCCTCGAAATGATAAATTTTGAATCGGCGCCGTTGGATTGCAAAGAAGGAAATATTGCATCAATCAGAGCGTCCACTGATTTAGTTTTATCAGTGTATGGAATAGACATGTTATCAGGTATACGAATATAGGACTCGTCCAATGTTTCCTCCTTTCCATCACCGACTCGTAGTAAAAAATCCGAAAACCATGGGTCATTTACCGCTCTCATGTTGATATTTAATCGAAGCCTTTTAACTGAAGCCCATAGAGGTGACATTCGTAAGCTAGAGTCGACAATTTGTGCTCGAGTGCCACGTCTCACGACCGGCAACACTTGTCTAAAGTCACCTCCCATAACCATTATCTTTCCACCGAAAGGGAGCTTCTCATCTGTGATGTCTTGCATTGTCCGATCAACTGCTTCTACTGCCTGCCTCTTAGCCATTGCTGCTTCATCCCATATGATTACCTTTGCCTCGCGAAGTATCTGAGCCTTCCCACTTTGTTTAGTGATCTTGCACATCGAGTTATTATCAAGATTGAGGGGAATTCCAAATCGTGAATGAGCTGTTCTCCCTCCTGGCATGTTGTTAGCCGCAACACCTGACGTGGCAGTTGCAAGTGCAATAAGACCACGGGCACGAATATTGGCCAACAAAGCTTTGTACAAAAATGTCTTTCCAGTTCCACCGGGACCATCTATGAAGAAGACACCTGGAATATTTTGATCCACATGCCTCATTATCTCATCATATGCAAACTTCTGGTCTGGATTGAGAGAGTCCCGCACATGTAAGTCTTCATATGCCACATTTATAGAGTATTCTTCTTACACCTCACGATAGCCTCTTGATTGTAAAATCGATGTGTGCACTGATATTTGGAAGGTCGTAATCACTAAGCTTTTTACTCATAGATTCTAAGAAGACTCTAATGTCGATGAGGACCATATTTTGCACTCGTTCGGCACATCCATATTGTTTCCTATAATCTTCAGAAAGAGCATCATAGTGGTCATCCCATAACTTGCGAACATTTCCTGGTTCACAAAAAATCAGCATCGTCGCAAATAACCTTCTAAGTGCGCTGGGAAATTGAAATAAGGAAGCCTCTACAAGACATTGTGATAAATTATCATCGGTCTCTATTAAACCTCTTTCAAGAGCTGCTTTTCGAAATGTAGGGTGTAATACACCATTGGCTGTGGATAAATCTTCAAAGCAGGTAGGCCCAGTGATATGACATAGAAGCAGACGTAGGTAGTATCTCTCTCCTTCAGCTGGATTAGCATAAACAAGTCGACCAACCATTGATTTATGTTCCCTGGTCCTCCAACAATGGTTTTTCCCCGATTCCATGTAAAATGTTTGGGAAAATCCTTATACAAGTATTTTCTCGCTTTGGAATCTTCTTTATTCTTCTTGAAAAATGCCGTCAACATTGAATTTTTTTCTTTCTCCCTATCAACAATGTCTTCCATTCTGTCACCGTCTTTGAACCTAACCAACTGTTGATTCGGGAGATGTATTTGCAAGGCCATCACACAAGGGTGGATTTTTGAAAGAGGAAAGCTAAAAACTCGCCATAATGCCTCAGGAGGGGACACATAACGTGCGTCTTGAAACTTTCGTATCTCATTAATAACAACATTTTCTTGGTCTTTATCAATATGGATAACTTGTTTGTCATGGCCCTTATAAACATATTTGAAGAGGTACTTCACAGACTTTATACTCGAACAAACCTCAACGTTGATATGACAATTGAACATCATTAACAACTTTGGGTTGTATGGAGCCACCCATCTGTTATCCAATGATGTATTTCTAACAGTCACCTCAATTCCATTATTTCTCCTTCTATATAATGGATATGAGTCCTCTCCTTGTGATGTCTTTTCATTGAATTGCCTAGGATATCTGAAACGACATATTTTTGGCACACCCTGCATACATGGACTTTTTTCTCGTAAGCTACCACAAGGACCGTGCATCATGTGACTTTTGACAAGATCATGCATTTCAGGAAACCTTATTGGGTCGGGAATTTCCGCACACACAAGTTTGTCATAATCATCTGGATTATTCATTTTATATCCAGGTGTCATTATTAAGAGGAAATGTGCATGTGGCAATCCACGCTTTTGAAACTCTATCACATACACATACGACCCCACCACACCGATTATATGTCTCTGGAATAACTGTACCTTGAGATCCTCTAACTTAGCATGAAAAACTCTTGCAACAAGGTCCGGTCGATCTTGAGCTGACTGTCCTGGCAATAACTCATCATCGATTTCTTTCCATTTTGGGTTGCACGTCATTGTAAGAAATATATCAGGCCTCCCGTCATCTTGAACTAAAGCCATGGCATCCAGAAATCTTCGTCGCATGTCACGTGGACCTCCAATGAAACTTGCAGGTAACACAACTCTCTGTCCAACCCTACTTGGTTGAGCCTCACCGGCATTAAAGCAATCAACAACGCCCTGGTATAAATCGGCTCGAATTTTGGTTTGGTTCTTTTCAACAAAAACCAAACGTGTAGTCTCAATCTTTATATACGTATCTACTGCAAACTGCTGGAACAATCTCCCTCCCATCAAAATCACATTATCATGCGACCGTATCTGGAACTTGTAACAATAGTAGTACTCCCGCATACTTACAGTATTTCTGCCTTTTTTTTGAAGTAGATTCTGTGATATCATAATTTATGTGAAAAATATAAATTTAATATCCATATATTTAAGGCAATATCTGTTACATGTTTTAAATATGTAAAGGAATGTTAAAGGCGTACCTTCTGAACCTTCATCATTGTCTTCATTGTCACTATGAATTTCATCCATGGTGACCCCATATCTTGGTATTTTAGGATGCCATCCAGACTCACCATTGGGAAAGAATAAAGGATACGACAAAGGATCATAACAACCAAAGTGAGGTTGAATTTCAGTACTATAGTTAGACCTCCCGTAGACAATAATACTTCTTTTATATGCAGTGATGTTGTCATTTCCTTCAACCCAAATACCAGCAACCTATGCAAAGGTGTAGTTCAATAGGGTGATTAATATGATATGTATAATAATAAATATGACACATTTAATTTTAAAATGAATAAAGATAAATGTTAATATTCACACCTCAGATGTGGTCGGCTTATTGTACACCCTTTGGTCAAGTTCCACCGATGCATTCAGAGTCACTCTATAATTATCAAGCGGTCCTAGATCGGAAAGACGTTTAAATGTTCTAACGTACGGATTCGAAGCTAGAATACGTGTTAGTTTTTGAATGATTCTTCTATCAACATTCTTCCAGGAGGATCTTTGTGATATTTCAGCTTCACCGTCATAAAAATACAACTGTAAATACCTCGATTTTCCATCCCTTGAAATTAATTGATCGATATTATGATAAGTGTTCCGTGCGTACAAAAAGTGTAAACTCCAGATGTCATACTTGCCAATTCTTCATCCACCTTTACACCCAGTGATGCGAAAGAAAAGTTTGAGTTATACGCCCTTATATTGTACCTGAAGCTTTCTTCTAGCTGCTCTTGGCTTGTGAAGAGTTGGTGCAATTCTGTGGGAATAGGGGAGTATGCCAGTTTTGTCTTCCCACTCATGCAACAAAATGTAGGGAATTCATATTGTAATCGCTTTGCTCCACAATAAACACAAGGGTTTTGAGCCTTTAATATACGATGTTCCATACGGATATTTTTGTAAACAAAATCATATGGATCCTCCTGAAAGGCGTATACTCTTCTTTTTGTCATCATAGTTCGTTCCTTTCTTCGTTGATAATATTCTTTATTATAAGTACTCGTCCTCTGAGCAACACTTATAACACTTACAGAGGAATCTTCGTTGATATTTGTTTCGTTTGTCTCCATTGTAGTGCAACTTGTGAGTGTTGTAGGCTGACTACATCCTTCACCGTTAGCTATCCTTCTCATTTTGTTTTTTCCTTTTTTCGTGCATAATAGTTTCTATTGTATCTTTTTCGATTTTCTACAAATATATTATTTGGATAAATAGTCATATATTATAAATGCAAATATATACTTATGTAAACGACATACCTTTTTCTATATCTATCGGGTTTTGGGAATCATCACAGTTTTCGTTTCCCTTATCTACGGTCCTCATTGAACACTATAATGGAAATGTTAAGGATAAACACATATTATATCATCAAGAATGTAACATTTTGTAATGTAGAGCATGTGATTTAGTAGTCATGTATGTGTGTGTTTTAGAAAGCAACAAAACCCTTAATAAATAACCAACTATACTAAAAACTTGTAATCCAAAAACACAATAGCAAAATAAACCACACATGAAAATATCCATAGGTATCCAAAAATTATTATTTATCAATTCATAAGTCAACACAAGAAAAATAAACCACACATGAAAAAATTCGCCACAATATGTCTAACATTAATGTAGATCAACTATAAAACCAACGCACTCATAAAAGTTGTCAAAACTTAAAAAAAACCCCACCAAATGTCTCACACAGAATTAAAAATTATTCTAGGCATATTTATGATGTTAAATGCTTCCGGCATCCTCGGTTGGAACTCTACGTTGCTTAGTTCGGTTGATATCAAAATGTTCACTGAAAATAAGATAAAAACTATTAAAATGTATTGATTTAGTTATTTTAATATCACTACAAGCATTATAATTTTGTAGAAAAAACTTACTTGAATCCAAATGAACCAATTTCACCCGAGAAACAAATATTATATACTTTCTCTTTATCGCATAGACAGTTGTCACAATCTGATGGTGTGTTCGGTCGGTTATATATAGTTTCATCTTTATTATACTCTCCCTATTTAAAATCAAATATTTCCAAAGTCACCTAATTTTCTTTTAATGTAATAATAATAATAATAATAATAATAATAATAATATTAATAATAATAAACACTTACGGCCCATCTTGGAGATATAAAGTGAAAGAAGGTAACGTCAGTACACCAAAGTAACGGGAATAGTTTCGCTTCCCTTTGATGATTTTTCCAACAATATCTAAAAATAGCGATAATTAAAAGGATAATTAACTTGTTATTATTTTAAAAACTTTAGAATGCTAAAAATATATATAAGTTATTAAATTTACCAATCATCATTTTTCTCTTTGTCTGATCCTCTACTAAACTTTTTATTGAGGGAACCAATGGAAAAACCGGAAACCATGATATGATAGCATCGACCAAACGATTAAACCGTGTGTTATTGCTGATCTTAATCATCAAATCGCCACGTAATAAACTGTATTCTTGATACCTCGGATACTCAGCATACGTTGGTTCGACTTGGAAATGGTTTAAAGAAAACACACCACCCAATAGATTCCCTCCATAAATAAAGCGCATCATTTGTTGTGGAACAACTGCTAACAATTTCTCTCTCTAATAGAAAATGTAATATTTTTATAAAGAAAATACTTATGATAAATTATGAAAATGGAAATAAGATATAAATAGTTTTTTAAACATACATTTTGATCAATGAGAATCATGAAGAGTTTGTTTGCTCTTGAATCCCTCCAAATGAAATCAACACGAACGGGTGTCAAAACATACCACAAATGGTAGTTTAGTAGCATTGAAAATGCATCAACGTAAATTTGACCATTCATGATTCTACAAAAAGAAAGTGTTTATTATAAAAGAAATACATCCTTTTGGACTAAGGAAGCATTTCAAAATAATTGAAGTATTTGTTACCAATCATTTGAGATTCTTAGAAAATTGATTAACTTTTGCGAATTTATTTGCATTTGTTATTAATATGTATTTAGACCACATTTATTGATGAATTTTGATAACCGGATCATAAAGATGACATATTAACATGAAACACAAGAAAATAATTGACAATCAATTGTGAAGGCTTATATTTTCAATTGGTCGGGGTTTGTAAATTGTAATCAAAAGCACTGTGCCACAATAATAATAATAATAATAATAATAATAATAATAATAATAATAATAATAACAATATATTTATTGAAACTGGTGGCGTTGTTTCTTTGGCAAGTTTCAAAAGAACATGCCACAATGCCACAATCAATTTGATAATTAAAAGATATTTATTGATTAAAAATATTCAAAATAAACCAAATATATATAAATCAATATCATTTAATTTATCAAATCAATACATATTCACAATAAAATCGCCATGCTCTAAGGTGGTTTAATTTTGTCTCTTATTTGACAGGGTGAAATATCAATTAATGGAAAAACCTTAATACATATTGGTTTTTTTTCCCATTGAATATATGATTCACTCAAATTCAAACTCAAAAACACAATGTACCAACTTATACATATACAAACCACACATATGTACAATGTCAGAAACAAATACATACACACATATATACAAATTATATACATGTATTATTTGAGATAAAGATTAAGAAGATTGATCAATTCAGATAGAAGACAAAATAATATTATCATTTGAAACAAAAGAAGTCTATCACTTCAAATAGAAGTAAGAAATAAAATATTATACAAATTTGAAGTTACAAAATATAAAAGAAGTAAAGAGAACCTGAATTCGTGTTTCTTGAGACGATGAAGCAGTCTTCCGATTCCAACTCAATGATCCAATCGTCCAAAAACTTCAACTGTGAAATTTTGCTGTGAGAGTTAATAATGAAGAACATAACTTCAATTTATAGGTAGAATAATCTATTATAGAATAGAAAATGATGTATTTTTGGATATTGTCAATCATTCCAAAATTAAGCAAATTAAAATCTTACCATGAATATTAAAATCCATACCAAAAATATTTAAAATCTTACAAGACTAACAAATATACTAAAAAATCTTAAAATAAATATTATAATTATCAAAATCCCTACCAAAAATATTTTCAAATCATATGAAACTTAACAAATATACTCAAAAATTTAAAAATGAATATAATATTTGTCGATTTTATTTTTGGAAATATACTGTAATCTAAAAAACAGTTTAACAGATCGGTAGTCAAAACTTATAATTAGGTCACTTAATCTTTTGCACATTACAGAATTAAAAAGTCGATACCTATATCAACTTGGGGAAGTTTCTGGGCACAATGAAGCAAAAAGAAGCAACAGTATGCTGATGCTAATGGATCTGCAACCCCTGCAACAAAATGAGAAATGAAAAGACTAAAACACACCTGCAACAAAATGAAACGACTAAAACACACCTGCAACAAAATGAAAAATAAAATTGAACCTGGAAAATGAAAAGATGAAAACACTTCATGCCTTTCTTCACACGTGCGTAACTGGCTCTCGCTCCTTTCCCATATGGATTTATTAATAAATGTATTGCTTCTCTTTTTCTTTTAACCTTACATGTAAGAAGAGCATCTATAGTCTGCATTCCATCTGAGACACAGATGTGAAAAGATAAAAACATGATTGCTATGAGTCTATGAGAATAGTTATAGTTATATTCAATAAATACGTGAAGGGGCAATTATGTCAAAACACTAACCTGGGTGCTAACACTGCCCTTGGGATACCACAACATTCTTTTAAGCCGTGTAGTATTTTAGACTGTGAGAGGTAAATTACTGCATCAAGACCAGGGACATAAAGCATAACCACTTTTGGAATCAGATGCTTATTCTGCAAAAATTGTATTTTAAAGAAAAATATATAAAATAAACCCTGAAAAACACAAAATTAGTACCTGGTACAAGTGTATAAACAAGCTCCTTTATCCCTGAAAAGAATCAAATAAACAAACATTAACCTTTTTTCTATCAAAATTTAGTTAAAGTAGTTTTTTGTGTAACTGAATCATAAAAGGAATGGAATGCTTCAAATAAACAAATTTTAACCTTTTTTCTTTCAGGGGCACTCATAATTACACTTGGAGCTATTGCTTTAGGAGCACTTATTAGAACTCGGTACGTGTTCTTTACTTGTCCAAGTTCAACAAGCACTTCATCTGTGTAAGGCTTCAACCACTCAACAATTTACTGGAAGAGCATAACAATTTACCACACGATTCGGTGGAAATATATAAAAATTAATGAATAATGGTAAGAAGGGTATAAATGGAAAATGTGAAAAGTAATCTACCCTTCTTTTTGGCCAAAGCCTGAACCAGGGACATCATAGATGCTAGTGGGACAGTAATAGATCTGCTTTCCATTTTGCTGTGCAAACAGGGCAAATGTGATTCCCATGTTTCACTGCAATCGGACAAGATCAAAAATTAAGAAAAAAAGGCATAAAATGGAATTAAACGAGGCATACAAAATTGCTAACAGTATCCTGACCCTGAGTAAATACAAAGTCGAAAACCCCTAAAAAAAATGCATTCGTTTTAAGGTTGTTTACCATAGCTCATAGGAATTAAAGGTTTACATTTTTTTTTCTCAAAAACATAAAGCAACTTCAAGACTCTGGTCATAATCATGTTGGCATGAATAACTTAACAAAAAGCAAACAGCCACAAAATCCATAAGATTGTAAGATTATCCGTTTTAGATCCATTTTGCATGTGCAACTACCCGTCAATCTTCAAAATAATTTAATATTAACCCAAAAATGACATGTCCTTTTGCACTAATCGATGTTACAAAAAGCAAAATCCAACTGTACGATAACAACAGTTAACGATTAATAGAGCCCATACGAACAAATTTTTCTAACGTATAATAACAACAGGAAAAGAAAATCAAGCCAAATGATGTGAAGGAGTATTATATAGTATAAGAAAACAATGGGAATAAAAAATTGAATTGATAGAAATGAAATACCCTAGCATAGGTAGTGTTGAATCCAGCCAAATCGAGCGCCTCATGGAGAAGAAATACCCTCATTTGTTTCAGACATTTTGCACGTATTTACAGAAAAAGCTGCCAATAACAAAAGAGTGGGATAAATTATTTGTTAGTAATTCTTCTTCCATAATTAGAGAAAAGAAAAAAAAATGGAAATTGAATTACCTTTGAGATCAAAGGGGTTTTTCTTGGTAGTAATCCACCGTATATTTTCTTGATTACTGCTGTCTGCTTCCTGTTTAAAGGTCATATGAAGATAGAGTAAAGACTTTTAACTAAATGCCTTGAATAGCCTTTAACTTATGACAGAATACAAAGATCTTAAGATAGAAATGTACAAATATGAAAATAGGTAAAGTGTGCATACCAGGATAACACACACCTGTAATTCTTGATGTACCCTATCAATTTATCATCATAATCAAACCCGGGGTTCCATACCAATGAACCATAGCCAAACACCCAGAAAACCATGATGAACTCCTCACAAATAACTAAAGTTTTTTCATTACCTTAAGTTTTTTATGCTAAATTGTCATGAATATGAGGCACAAACCAACCTATGTTCCTGCTATACCCATGGCGAATCCGATATCTGATTCATGTAAAGCTGGAGCATCATTTGTCCAATCATCTATGTTTTTTTGATCTAGCCATCACCACGTTTTTTTGTTTGTACCTGAATGGTATTAGGGCACAAGGGGTAAGGACGTCAAAAAGAATCATTCATATTTCAGTTACTGCAAAAGAGATAAATATAGATGGAGAAGTCAAAATTAGAATGAAAAAAGAAACCTGAAACATCCAGATGAGGTGATTGTGTTAAAAATTAGATTCAAAATCGATTTTATAGAAGAAATTACTTAACAAATCAATTTAAAATAACAAATCAATTTAGAGAAGAAAGAAAATGAGTTCAACGACGGAGAAGAGAAGCTTACCTGATGAGGAAGGAGATGAATTGGTGGATCTAACATAGAAATTCCAAGGACTGGTTGAGGAAATCGCTGAAGTCGCTGGAGTTTTGAACCAGAGAACATTTGTGATGTGAGGGTGTCGAATGGTATTAGGGCACAAGGGGTAAGGACGTCAAGAAGAATCATTCATATTTCAATTACCTGCAAAAGAGACAAATATAGATGGAGGAGTCAAAATTAGAATGAAAAAGAAACCTGAAACATCCAGATGAGGTGCGGAGAATGAGTAAAGAAACCTGAACATTTGTGATGTGTGGGTCTCTTTTGCTATGTTCTTCGTCGGGATGGCAGAGATGTCTCCAACAAAGGACGTTCGATTTCAGGTTGAGCTTCAAATCAAACCCTTAAACTGCCAAATCCGATGGATTTACAGATCGACTCAGCATGTAGTCAAGAAACAAAAAGACTCCTCAACACCGTTTAGGGTTTTTTTATGTGTGTGTGTGTGTGAGAGAGAGAGAGAGAGGTGATGGAGAAGTGACGGAAGAGATTGAGAGAAATGACGGCAGCCATGGACCTTCGGTAGGAGACTGGAGATCACAGCATCTTTGGTGGAGACGATGAGAATAGTTTTGATGGCGGCTGTGTTTAGGAAATTAGGGTAAGGTCTAGTGTAGTGTATGCGATGTATGTAATACGTATACGATGTAATAGATCCGTGTAGTGTAATAGGTATTAGATTGGTTATATGTTTATGCTTAAAATCATTGTATATGAGGTAATATATATTGTACCTCTTAATTTTCAAGAAGTGAGCAATATCCTTTATAATATAGTAAAGATATATATATATATATATATATATATATATATATATATATATATATATATATATATATATAAAAGTAGGACAACAGTAAACCTGATGTTTTTTTTATATTTGGTCCATAAGTTTAGATATTTTTGTTTTTTACCCTGGTGTGCTTCTATTGGTTAAATTTTTTGATTTTTTGATTTTTTTTTGTTTTCAAAATAAATTAGTTGCTACATGTTATCTTTCTACTACTTCAGCTACTTATTCTTCCAAATTTACGTGTTCTCTCACAGACAACCCATCGCCCACCGCCCATTGATACTTATGTCGATGCTTCCCCATCGGCATCCCTTTAGGCACAAACGGGTTAATATGTTCACTTTCCACCGCTTATCATCCTTTTTCTATACTTCTCTCGTCTTTCATTTTCTCTTATCTGCTTCACACACGACCTATGTGAATCAATCGATCAAAATAGCTATGGATTTTGCTTTGTTGGACATTTTCACCCCAATAGTTTGAGGGATTGACAATTTAGTCATTGGTCTCCCCTAGTCAACGTCTACCTATGTGTTCTTTTCCTGTGCTATGGATTTTGCTTTTTTGGACACATGCTCCTTCCTTCGGCTCACCGCTTCTTATTCATCTTCCAATATTCCGCTGCCTTATTTCGAAATTCTTTGGTTTTCATCTTGTATCTATTACAATATTATCCTAAAATTATGCACACTGACAAAAAAAAAATATAACATAACACATATAACTCACGACGGACCAAACTGTCAAAACGTACCACAAACGACTAAAACAGTTGATCAATAATATTTTATTTTCTATATTGTTAACAAATTCATACCCCACAAAGCGGGGTTCCAAAAAAGAAAAAAGAAAGATTATGAAAATGAAATGACTATCTTGTCTCCCTAAATACATCTTAGTTTTAGCACGTTATGAGTTTAGCAAAATCTTTGATAGAATCAATTGTTTGAAAGGAATATATATTGGTCAAACTATATTATAATGCAATTATTGAAATGCTCGTAAGTTCAGGGACATTTTTGTACATTAACAAAGATATTTATTGTACAATTTTTTGTTAGTTTTAAGAATAGTGACACATCGTTGCAATCGCTTGATACACAAATGACAAACCTAATAAATATTGACAGATGCAAAAGGGTTTATCTCTTAACAAATAACTATCTTATATTTAGATTTTTAATAACTAATCTGATGTTTAGATTCATCTATTTTATATTTAACATTTGAGCCAATATTACAAGAGACATTAAATTTTTATTTAATTTTTTAATTTTGACACTCTTGTAATTGTTTTTTATATATAAAACATAACATACAATAACATAAAAATAAACATAACATACATATATTATAATGTGTATAAACCAAGTCATGTCTAATAATAGTTTTTTCTAGTTATCATAAGAATTATTAAATCTTTCTTAAGGGACTTAAGGGACACATCAAAAGATCTTCAAGCTCTCATCTGCCAAGTTAACTTTTGCTTTCAAAAGGATTTCAAATCTTCATGTTGTGTGTAACACCCTGTTTTGAATTGACTCCTAGTCGGAGGCTGTGGCCCGAAGGCCGGTCATCATAAGGATTATGACTTTTGAAAAGGGTAAGATCTAGGCCATTTTGGGTGCGAGTGATGTATTAGAAGCAATCCGGATGTTCGGTTTGTGTTTTGGAGCCTAGTGGTATTTCGGTAAAGTGTCAGTTTGGGCTTTTGTGGAAAATGGACTTTTGTTCGGAAGGTCTTAAGGAAGATATGAGTTGATAGAAGTGTAGGGCTTCACGTTACCTTTCGTGGATCTAAGGATCGTCGAAAACAAATTTATAACGAAGAAGTTATGGCCTTTGGAAGTTTAGTGGTTGCAGGCTTAGCCAAGTACGTTGGGCGTACACTGAAAGTACGTTGGGCGTACTAGTGAAGAAGGCAGTACGTTGGGCGTACTTTTGGAGTACGTTGGGCGTACTGAACAGGATGGTCGCGAATGTTCTTCGGGGTACGTTGGGCGTACGCCAATCAGACCTGAACTCTATTTTAGGGTCTTGGACCCTATTTAAGCTCTTTATCTTATAACCTAACCCTAATATCTTTAGCCTCCACCCATTTAAACCCTAGAAATCGACCCTTATCCCTCATTTGAGTGATTTTGGAGCTTGGATGGCCATTAGAGGAGTATTTTGGAGTTTTTGAAGAAGAAGGTGTTTAGAGAAGAAGCAAGAGATTGAAGAGAGGTTGTAGATCCATAGGTTTTACATCATTTCCAGCCTATTAAAGGTATAAAGTTCTCATCTTGGTGCTTCTACATCATAGATCTAGGTTCTCATTGATATTGTCCCTTTTGGTTTCAAGAATGGATTTTTATGGTGCAAATCCGTTTTTGGACTTAGGGTTGCCACCCATGAAGTTATTTAAGTCCCTTGAGCAGTAAAGTTGCAATATTTAAGGCTCATTTGCATCCATGTAAGAGATCTATCCATTTCCATGAAGATAGTTGCTATTTTCCAAGTTGATCTCACTTGGTGGGGTGCAAGCCACCAAGTGATCAACTTTATGGGTTAAGAATGATTATTAGACTAGGATATGAAGTTTGGAAGTTGTGTCTTAAGGGATTAAGCAGTTTTGAAGTTTGGAAGTCGTGATGGGCCACTAGGAGACAGTTAAGGGCCCAAGGACTAGTTTGGGTTTGGGTGGAAAGCCCATCTGAGGATTTGGGCCTAATTTAGAAAATTGGGCCATTTGAGGACTTTAATGGGCCTTGGTGAGTTTGGAAAGACTAGAAAGGATTGGACCTCGGTCATGGTCCAATTTAGATTAAAGGGGGGTAAAATAGTCATTTTACCCTTAGATGGATTCTTAGTTTTTGACTTAGTGTTTATTTTGGTCATAATAGTCGGGGAGTCGTTGGAGCAGCTGACAGAGATACCCTCGCCCGAGTTTTCAGCATCCAGTTTGTGAGGTGAGTTTTCTTCCAGTAGGAACGGGTCTAAGGCACCAAGGTCGGCCCATTTAAGTAGTAGAGTATGTCGGGGTAAGCCCGATGTCGGGGTTAGCCCGATGCAGTTTATATGTTTCCGGACTTCGGTGCGATGTCGGGGCGGTCCTGAGAAGTAGTTATGTATGCTTCATGTCTTTGTGATTCATGCATGTTTATGTGTTATGTGTTATATGTTCCGGACCTCGCTCCAATGTTGGGCAAGCCCAATGTAGTATATGTGATTAAATTATATGTTATGTGTTCCGGAGTAAGCCAGATTTCGGGGAAAGCCTGACGTAAGTTAGTCAATATGCCATGTATTATGTATTTCCGGGCAAGCACGATGTATGCTAGTTTATGTGTTATATGTATTTATTCTGGGCTTTGGTCCGATGCCGGGGCAAGCCCGATGCAGATTATGCTATTATGTTATGTGTTCATGATATATGTATGATGTGTATGTGTCGGGGTAAGCCCGATGCCCGATGCGGTCGGATGCCGGGGTGAGTCCGATGTTAGGTAAGCCGATGTCGGGATTTGTCCCGATGCAGTTGGGAGTAGTCCCAGAGTTATGTTATTTGTGATATGTGCTTGTAGGGTATGTGGTAGTTTGGGGGAGCTCACTAAGCTTCGTGCTTACAGTTTCAGATTTGGTTTCAGGTACTTCAGGTTTCAAAAGAGGAACTCATGAAGGTTGCAGTGCACACACCATTTGCTCAGCCTGTGATGTTTATACTCTGATATACATGACAGTTGTTATAGTATTCTGAGATACATTGTTTATGATTTTTCTATGACGTATGATGATTATGGTTTTTATTATTAAATTAAAATGAAATTTTTGGCTTGTATTTTTGGGATGTTTCAAGTTGGTATCAGAGCTTTTTTTGAGGGATTCAGGCACACTATCGGGTGTATCTGAACTCAAATTGAGGAAGTTGTATAAAGTTTTTAAAAGAAAAGAGTTTTAGAAAAAACAAAAAGAATTTTTAGAAGGAAAAGAGTTTTGAAAAGAGAAAAGGGTATGGTGCATGCAATCAACGGAGCTCAAGTAAGTACTCCCAAATTACCCATAAAAGTTTATGTTATGTTATGATATCAGTTTTATTAGAACGACATGCTAGATTAGGACTAAGGATCTAGGAAGGATACCTTATGTGCCTATTATATGTGATTCAGCTTTATGAGAACTGCATGCTAGTACAAAATAGTCAGGGTGATAGCCTGAGTAGTATATGTTTGATTATGTGTACTAAATGCCCAAATGCTGATTGCTTTGTGATTTTAGGAGTTCTAGTTGTCTTTCACTAACTAGTAAACAAATATGTTAAGTTACATATTGCAAGGACTAAATAATTTCATAAGGTTAGGTCTAGCTTTATTTCGCAACTCTCGTTTGAGTCTAATCGTTGTAGAGTAGGATCCCTCATTCGAAGAATTATCTAGTCTGAGTAATATGTAATAGTATTCACGAGCTAGCTA